CCCCAAAACCCCAAAACCCCAAAACCCCATAAGCATAGTATATTCATATAAAAGTGAAATTAGAATTAATATTTAGTGTAATTATTATTATAATTCAATGGCTTTAAAATTATTCTAAAAGAGATTATTTTCTAGAGTGGGTCCTGGAGCTAAACAAGTGTTGTCAACCTAAAAAACTAAGATTGAGGACTAAGACGCTGATTTTTTTCATATTTTAACCAAGAACCCTCAAATGATTTATAAAGGCATAGCTGAGAGAAGACAAGAAAGAGAAGAATTTAATAAGTACAGAACTCATTCAGGTAAATTAATTGGCTTATTTATTCTACAGTATAGCCCTTAAAAAACTAAACCATATGCTTTTGAGAGAGTACTGTGACGAAAAGGATGACTATTTCTTGCATAAGCACATAACCAACCTGATTTGTGACATGGGCTATGTTATTAGTGAAGACTCTCTAAAATCTCCCTAAGACATTTTTCACAAGTTGATAAAGTAAACAGACGAATTTATGATAGTAGTTCATTATGGAGTTCGTAGAAGACTCTTTCAAAGAAAAGACAGCATGGATAAGTAAGAAGAGAGATAAGCTGAAGCAATCTCAAACGATGGATTTGGAAAATTTCTCAAGAAACATGGGCTGCTTCCTCCAAATATGGTTGACTATGATGAGAGAGCTGAAATGAAAGCTAAAATTGAAGCCAAGAAAATGCCAGGTCAAGAACTAATAGATGATCAATATGACAGATGTAAATTCGAAGTGTCAATTGTTAATAAAAAAAACTAAGCTCTTGTCTGCGATTTATCTCTGAGAATGGGAGAGATTATAATTGATGAGTTGTTTATCGTTAAGGATGATGCAGATGAATTCGTTTAGAATCATTGGTTTGATATTAAGAACAAAAAAACCAACAATAAGTTTTATAGCAAGGTGCATCCATTTAAATACAAATATTTAAGCGAAAATGTTCAAGTGAATCTCACTGAGTTCTTTTATGCAATCGGCTTAAGGCCAGAGATAGGCTTGTGTGTAGAATATCTTAGTTGGAATAAGGAGTAGAGGCTCTATATGAGATGGTTAAAAGATATGTACATCCGGCTAGATAATGAGTTATCAGAGTTTGAGAAAAAGCACTTAAACTTGCCTTCCTCATCCAGTAGTGAAACTGAATAATTTAGTAGTGATAGCAAAGAAATAGGAAACCCAGAAAAAGAATTGTTCTATACTCCAAAGATCAAAATATGAGTAATAATTAAATAATTAAGATAATGACTATCTATGCTTAATTTCATCTAACTACATATTCAAACTCCTTTTTGCCTTCTTTTTAATCTTATTTTGCAGAACTGGGATGTTCCTCGCCCTCTCTTTTTAGGTAAGTAGGATCGAATTCCTCCAAAATACTCTTTGGTACGCCCTAGCCTTCCCATTTAGGTCCTCTGTAATGCATTCTATCCATAAGTTCACGATGTCTTCTAATATCTTCTGGGTCAGCATTTGAACAGTACCAGTTACTATATTAAGCCTATTCTCTAGTCTCTCCTTAACCAGGCACTAATTACCCATCTCTGAGAATATATGTTCCAGTACCTTGAATGCCAGTCTTTACCTCTTCTTATTTCTCTTCATTGCCTGCATTTTGTTTATAGCTTCTAAATTAAACATTTCCATGCATGTCCATATCAATTTCTCCTTCAATTTTATCTTTTAACTCTTCGGCTAACTTATTAAATCTCTCCTGCTCATCCTCATACATCTTTTTAAGTTCGAGATCCTCCTCTCTTTCTATATATTTAACGTTCTTAAATCTATCATTATATGTGGACCCAATTTAAGACTCTTCCAACACTTTAAAAGCTTCCAAGCCTTTGACTATATCCTCAGTCTCTTTTTAAATTTGCTTCAATCTTTCCCTGTCTTTTTTAAGAATTTTACTTCTCTTCTCTTTATTCTCTTCGGTTTCATCTTCATTCAAGTCATAAGCCTTTATACCATCATCTTTAAGAGTCTATATCTTTAGCTTGTTAATCCCTAACTAGTCTTATGGACTCTCAGCAGCATCTGCCAAGGGATCATGCTATTTCTCAGGCAACTCAAACTTTACTGTATCATGCTTGTCAGTATTTACTTCCTCAAATAATTTTGGGTAGTTAATTTTCAGCAGATAGAACTTACTCTTAGTGACAGTAACCATCTTCTTAAAGTCTTTTTCCAATTTAATTTCATCTGTGACCTCAGTAAATAGCAGGTTCTTAAATTACTCTTAAAACATTTCAAGATCATTCAGAGTCTTAGACTTTTGATCTTGATCTGGTAAGCGAGAGCATAAAAGCGTCAACTTTTGGAGAGTAGAGCGAATTTCTCTCTCATATTACAGTCTTTGATTTTGATAATTTATTTGAGAGAATCCAAATCTTGCTTATATGCTATTATATTAAGATTAAAGGAGAAGATGTTAAGATCTCTTAGTGTACTTGAGAACTTTGTTGATAAATTACATATTTATAGAAAAAGAATTAAATTCTTATGAGTTCAGTACTCACGGGGTTTTGGGGTTTTGGGGTTTTGGGG